GCTGTCCCTGGGGGGGGTGTGCCCAGTCCCTGACTGAGCTCTCTCCTCCCAGAGTGTGAGGGTCACCAACGCCACCTGCGCCTCGGACGAGGACTGCGTGGCCGGGGAGCTGGACATGCTGGGGAACGGTCAGTGTGCGCCCGGGGCGGTGGGGGGCGGGCCAGGGCGCCCTCTCCACCTGAGCGCATGTGCCCGCAGGTGTTCGGACGGGGCGCTGTGTACCCTATTACCACGGGGCCTCCAAGACCTGCGAGGTGTCCGGCTGGTGCCCCGTGGAAGATGGGGCCTCTGTCAGGTGCGCCCACCACCTGGGACCCAGGTCCACCCTGCTCCTTCCTCCGGGGGCGGGGGGGCAGTGCGGCTGCAGAGCCTGGGGAGACTGAACACGCAGTCTGTCTCCTCAGCCAGTTTCTTGGCAAGATGGCCCCCAACTTCACCATCCTCATCAAGAACAGCATCCACTACCCCAAGTTCCAGTTCTCCAAGTAAGAGCCCTCGGGTGGGAGAGGGGCCCCGGGAGGAAGCTGCCTCCCGAGGATGCCCACCCACTGCGCCCGGCGTCCTCAGGGGCAACATCGAGATGCGCAAGGATGGCTACCTGAAGCACTGCCTGTTCGACGAGGCGTCCCACCTGTACTGCCCCATCTTCAGGCTGGGCTTCATCGTGGAGCGGGCGGGGGAGAACTTCACGGAGCTGGCCCGCACGGTGAGGCCAGGCGCCTGGCTGGGCGGCCCGGCTCGCAGAGGATCGGCGCCCCATCTGGCTGTGCATGGCTCCCGCTCAATCACCGACTCCTGGTCACACAGCCCCTGCTCCCCTCTTGCCCCAGAAATGGGTGCTCACCAAGTGCCCCAGTTCTATGTGCACCCCAGGCACCGCCTCAGGGTGGGACCCCAGGGCTAAGGGTCCTGTGTGCCTGCCCTGACCCCATCTCTGGGCAGGGTGGTGTCATTGGGGTCATTATCAACTGGGACTGTGACCTGGACCTGCCGGCGTCCAACTGCAACCCCAAGTACTCCTTCCGGAGACTGGACCCCAAGCACACCCCGGCCTCCTCTGGCTACAATTTCAGGTACTTGGGCCCTGGGACACCTGGATCCTCACCCACCTGTGTGGTGGCTTGGGCGCAAACAGGGAGGGGCCGGTGGTGGGCAGTCTTGGTGCTGCCCTACTCTGGCGACAGGCACGCCCACCACCAGTTCCTCAGGGGCAGGCAGCCAGGGCCGTTTCAGGTTCTGACGTGCTTCCGGGTCATTCCACCCCAGGTTTGCCAAGTATTACAAGATAAACGGCAGCACCACCCGCACCCTCATCAAGGCCTACGGGATCCGCATCGACGTCATCGTGCACGGACAGGTAAACCAGCCGGCCCTGCTTCCCTGGGGTTCAGGTGGGCCGGCCCAGAGCTGAGCTGGTCCAGCTCTGTGTCCCCTCCACACGACCTACCCCGGAGGGTCTGAGGCAGCCTCCTCTCCCCAGGCAGGCAAGTTCAGCCTGATTCCCACCATCATAAACCTGGCCACAGCGCTGACCTCCATCGGGGTGGTAAGGAGCGCGCACTGGGGTCCGGGCACGCGTGCGTGTGCGTGTGGTGGGGGGGTCAGGCCACGCCCTCACACATGTTTGGCTGCCACAGGGCTCCTTCCTGTGCGACTGGATCTTGCTGACATTCATGAACAAAAACAAAGTCTACAGCCACAAGAAGTTCGACAAGGTGTGTACGCCACAGCACTCCCCAGGTAGCTGGCCTGTGACCCTGGCCCTTGTTTTGGGCCAGGCCCCTCCGCCCCCCTGTGCCTGCTCCACAGACCCAGGCAGACCACAGGACGAGGGGCAGAGCCAGGCCCAGGCCGTCCCACCACCACGGCCTGGTCCCACCTCTGCCCCATCTGAGCAGATGGTGGACACTCCCGATCGGGGTGCAGGACCCGGGCCTCGGGCCTCCGAGCCTCCCCAGCAGGACTCCACGCTCACAGACCCCCGAGGCTTAGCCCAGCTCTGAGCCCCCTCTCCCCTCACACTGCAAAGGCTGCCCTGGCCTGAAGCAGGTGGGACCAGCATGGAGCGCCCGGCCCTGCCCCCACATGCCTCCTCACAGCTGGGAACGAAAGGGACCCATGCAACTGGGCAGTGGGCTGAAAGGGGGCAGCACCCTGTTCCCAGCTGCCCCCTCCACCCCTGATCCTCATCCCTCCCGCCCACACCACCTGCCCAGACCCGTTGCTGGGCTCCTAGCCAAGAAACCACGTCCAGAATCCAATAAACCTGTGACCATTACCATCTTGCCCTGTGTTTTGGGAAAAGCGTGTGGAGGCCCTGAAGACAAATACTAGTTAGTACACAGCGGTGGGTCCCTGTGCAGGGGCTGCAGGGGCCTTGCCAGCCAGTGCAGTGCCCAGGCTCATGGCTGCCCTCTGGTCCAGCCTGGTCCCAGCACATCTGACCAGGGCCAATGGGGTGGGCGGTGGGAGGCAGGCTGAGTGCACGACGACCCTGTCTTGTCTCAGTGCTGCCCTTGTCAGTGTGTCACCACCTTCCTGCAGGGGTCACCCCAGGCCCCCAAATAAGGGAAAGGACGGCAGCCAGGAGGGAGGGGATGAGTTGTACCCAAGGAAAGCTGCCGGGCTGCCATTTGGTGTGGGGAGTGTGGGCCTGGCCAGGCCTGTGGGTAACCAGCTCCTGCATCCTCAGGTGCCACAGCTCATTACGTTCAACGTACCAGTTTGACTGGACATGGTTTCTCTAGCAACAGTGGTGGCGTGTGCAGGTGTGAGGCAGCATGAGCCAAGCACCTTGCACAGACCTCACCAGTGGTCCCATCACTCCCAAGCTCAAGGAGAGGGAGGGTTCAGACCATACCATCCCTGGGCCCCCCCAAGTCTGAATGCCCTTCCCACCTGCCTATTGGGCTTGCCCCACTGGCTGCAGCCAGCAAACGCTCCATTTGACCCCACACAGCCACCTTCAGCTCCTCCCCGCTTGGGACACTGGCTGCACAGGTCACCCAAATGCTGGACACCCCGAGGGTCTGGCTCACAGATGTCCAGCTCTAGTTTCGGAGAAACTGGCTTTTCCAGTCGGGGCTGGGCTGCAAGCTCAAGAACCAGGGCCAGGGGCTCAGGTTTCCTAAGCAGAGTGACCAGGGCCTAGCACCCCAAATGCCCCCACCCAAGCTGACCTCCAGGGCACAGCTGGGAGCTCAGGAACCAGGGTGCCCAGGCCCCGTCTTGCTGCAGGGACAGGCGTGCAGTGTCCAGGGTGCTGCTGTGGGCGTCCCCACCTCCCCTGGCATCTCCAGCATCATTACCAGGAAGCTGTTAGCCCCCCCACCCAGACCTAATCTGATTTGCTCTCCATTTGGGGCTGACGTGGGCTCCATCCACCTTCCAGCCAGCGTCAGGTTTCTCCTGGCCGTTGGGCCTGGCCCAGCCGGCGGGTGGTACCCAGGGGCCAATGCTGCTGTACAGACAGCTGCCAGCTGGTCAGCCTTCCTCCCTCCCAGACGGAGAAGCAGCGTGCAAACACACAGCACACGTCTCGACAGAAATGAGCTAGTAAGGACCAAGTTAAACCGGGCTGAGGCCCCCGGCCCTCCCGTGAGCCCACCATTTGAGGTTTCTGAATTTGCCGCCTCACCACCTGGGCGTGTTTTTTACATGGGATGGGCGGGTTTTTTGTCCTGTCTCCAGTCCGATTTTGTTTAAAAGGTGCACAGAGCTCGTCTTATGTTCTGGGGCTGAAGACAGACGGAGGGAGAAGCTGGCACTCGGAAAGGCTCTAGGCCTGGGCTGGACCCTGAGCTGGTGCCCTGCAGGGTCCCAGGTCCCAGGGCGACCTGAGCTGAGGAACAAGGACAGAACCTCCTCCACCTGACAAAGGTGCTGCTTCCTTTCTCTTCCCCTTCCCATGAAGGAAAGAACCTAAAATCCTGTGGGTGAAAAATTATTTTTCCGAAGTCCAAGAGGTAACAGATGCTGTACAATCAATCCATGATCAATGGGTGACCCCCTGTGCCAGGCCTCCTCGGGGCACAGGTAGGCTCTGAGGGCAGGTGGTGTGGTCAAGCTCCATCTGAGAAGCCCCGGCCCAGATGAGGGGATCACCTGATGCAGACCCCGCCCCCTCTCTGACCAGGAAGTCTCCACAGAGAAATCCAAGCCCAAGTGCAGGGATGCCAGCCGCCCCGGAACCTGCCGTCTGAAAGATGCCCAGGCCCCCAAGGGCTCAGGGCCTGATTCCTGGAACTGGCCACACCCACGGGTGAAGCTGTGGAGGGCGTCTCTGAGGTCACAGTGCCTGGGAGCAGAGCTGCTGTCTCCCACCCAGGTGTCCCTTGCCCTGGGTCTGGCCTAGGCCCCCCCCCCCCCAGGTTTGGCTCAAACAGAAGGCCCTGAGGGCAAAGGGGATGCAGAGGTGGGGCATGAGGGTCAGGCCCTGCAGCAGCAGCAGCAGAGGCCACACGTGTTTGTGCACGAGAACGACCCGTCGGGCTGCCCTGACGGAGGCTGGGACTGGGACCCAGGTGGGCCGCTTCCTGCTCTGGCTGGATGGCTGGTTTGGGCCAAGTGACCCCTCCCTGGAAGCACCCTGAGGGTCATTTTCTTTGGTGCTGAGTCCTGGAGATGGTCTCCAGCTGGGAAGCTGGGGCAGAGAGGGGACAGGCCCGCCTTGCTAATGGCCCAGCTGGGGGTTCTTCTGTAGCAGCCACTCCAGGGTCTCCATGAGATATGACATGCCATAGTGCTGGGCAATGTTCCGGAAGATTCTGATCTGCTCCATGAAGACCTGCAGAAGAACCAGTCGCCATGAGACCCAGTCCCAGAGGAGGTGCAGGGATGCGGGCTGAGGCCCGGAGCGTAGGGAGAGAGAGGTGTGGGTGAGGGCCAGACGGGCAGCCGCCCAGACCTTGGTGTGGATGGTGAGGGCGAAGCCGCCCGCACAGCTGCAGTACACGGACATGTTGGTCTCCTTCACGCCTCGGCACTTCAGGCAGATCTGAAACGAGGAAGAGCCCAGTCAAGAGTCCACCCCCCCACCTGCACCTCAACTGTGGATAAAAGCCAGACCGCACAGCGGCCTCACCTAACGTCCAGCTGCTTCCCTGCCCTCGCTGTGGGCCCACCCACCCGGCCACACCAAGCGCCGTGTTCCTGCCCAGAACCCATGCCTCCCAGTCCCCGCATCAAATGCTGAACACCCCGTCTCTCTCTCTCTCTCTCTCTCACACACACACACACACACACACACACACACCCCGCTGGTTCTGGACCCTCATCCCACTTACACCCTTTATCTTGTTTGCCATCTATCTCCCTCCACTAGAAGGGAAGGCCCAGGAGGCCAGCACTTGGCCGCTGTAGGTGCCCAACAGGAGCTATAAGATTGAATCACTTGGGCTGTGGATGAGGCCTGACCCAACAGGTGGTCATCTCGAAGGACCAGGTTATGACCTGAGACCCGCTGCTCACCAGGTCCTGCAGGGTGAAGGCCATCAGCTTCTTCTGCAGGGCTTCCACCAGGGCCATTTCGATCACCGAGGAGTCGTAGGCGGCCTGGCAGTTGGAGCAGAACCACTGGGGCAGCACAGCCCCATCCTGGTCAGAGAGGGAGCAGGTCACCCTTTGCCCACCTCCCTGGCAGTGCCCCTCCGCCAGGCTGAGGGGACCAGCCTTGAGGAGACTGGGGCAGAGCATTCGTGAGAGGTGAGAGGCGCATAACCGCATGTGGCAGCTCACTCAGCCCCGGGGCACCTCCCATCTACCACACCGTCCTCACACGTTCACTGGATGATGATCCAGCACGTGGCAGCCGAGGGCTGTAAGAAAGCTGCCAGCTCCTAGTCATGCCACAGCTAGCGGACGTGAATCACCCAAAAGGGAGAGACAGGTCACACAAGAGTGGGTGCTCCCACCTGAGAGAAGGACGGGTCTTTGCACAGGTCCAGGTCCCGGCAGAAGTTACAGCTGTGGCAGATGACCTCTGGGAGCACGTAGGAGCGGCAGGGGTCTCGGAACTGGGCCTCCTCCGAGAACTCACCAACGTCCACCAGGCGGAGCAGGTCCCGATTGAGCTTGTTCACCTGGTTTGTGATGTTTGTGTCCAAAGACAGGACCTGCAGAGAACAGGGCGCGGTGAGGGCAGCTCCTGGGCCTCCTGCTGTCTGGACTGAGACCGCGTGGCCGAGCACCACCTCACACTTCCTATCCCGTCAGATCTGCCTCCTCTGCAGCAGTGGTTCCCTCACGGCCTCAGCTCCAGGGACTCGGGCTCTGCCTGTCAGCCTCACTGGCTCCTTTTCCCTGAGTGACAGGCAGTCCTAAGTCTACTGGAGACTTACAATCTCACGTGCAAAGTGGCTAATGTCCACCCTCAGGGTGAGGGACTGCCCGGCCCACCCAGGGGCCTGCAGAGCCGAGGGGGAGCCAGCTAACCCTCCTGTCTGTAAGGAGGGCTCTCCCACCCCTAAAGCTCTGCTGCCACTCGATCCTGGCAAGTCCGTCACCGTGAGATGCAGTGGCCAGGAGGTGACTTCATGAGCAGCGAGGCGCCTGCTTGTCCTGGTCTGGTAACAGTATTCCACCTTTGATTCCGTCTCCTTTCCCAGAACGGCATTTGGCATCCACGCAAGCTCTCCTCTGAAGCCTGGGTGTTTCGGGAGCTCCCCCAGACCACCCCACCCCAGGGCCTTCACCCAATCGGCCCAGACATCGTTCCTTCCTGGGATCCACATGTGGCTGGACCCTCCTGGTCACTGTGGTCTTAGCCCCAGGCCCCATCAGAGGCCCCTCACCTTCCCCACTTCTCCGAGCCCAGCTCACAGCACCTGTGCTCCCTGAACTCACCCTCCTCACTGACCGGCCGCCCCCTCATTGGAGCACAGGCTCCAGGAGCTGCAAATAGCTCACACAGGCTGTTCAGAATGGTGGGCAGAGTGTTGTGGGAGAAATGCGTTTCTTACTCCTGCCCTCACCTTACACAGGTAGGAGCAGGGCCTCACCTTGCACACATACTTGATGAACTCCAGGGCAGGGTTATTAAGCACCAAGTGAGAGCCGGGCAGGACAGGAAACATCTCTGAGAGCTCAGCTGAGTTCCGAGAGCCTGTGACTTTCCTCTGAATCTTCTGGGTGATGGTGAAGAAGTTCTGAGTGAGTTCATTTGCCACGTAATCTTGAGAGAAGGTGATCATTCCTGGGGAGAGGGGTGACATGGTGCTGCTCCCACTTGGCACAGTGACGAGGATGCTGAGGAAGCAACTCGGGGACCCCGCCCTGGAGGGGGGCGAGGGGTCAGGTCACAGGTGCGTGGTCTCGGCAGCA